CTTCAGTCCTTAACCCACTGTTTTTTTATTAATTCCACAACTACAGTGTGCCTAGTCTTTTTAAACCTTCATATAATGACTCATCGATTAGTTGTAAAATGAATTTAGTGATTTGGACTAACATAAAAAAAGTTGAAAAGAGTAGGCAATATCAGAATGCACTGCACATAAAAAGTACTTTTACTGTAGATTTACATGTGTTATACTGAACTGCAGTTTTTAAAATGTATTTTTATGAGGGCAGGTAGATTTCTTTGTTCATTTATTTATTTATTTAAACTGAGCTACTGGGCATTGAACCCAGAACCGCATACATGCTAGGTGTGCACTCTACCACTGAGGTATACCCTCCCCTCTAAAAATGCATTTTTTTAAACCCTGTTCTATCCTGTCTTCAGAAAGTAAAAACACTTCAGGAAGAAGTCTTTCTCATGGCATCTCCCAGCCTACCTCTATATAAAAGTTGCAATTCAGCATATTTTTATTTTGTACTACCTTGTGTTCCCCAGAATATAATCAGAGCACAGCCTGGCTAGAGCCATCCTGTGGAATCTTACTCAGTGAGTGAAAGCTGAATAGAAAGTCCCCCTGCATATACACAAGTAGTGTGGCCGCAGGGAAGTCTAGAAGGCACTCCTGAGCTGTGACCCGCAGGATCACCACCCCGGCACCGCGATAGCCGCATCCGGCACCACCTATTTTGATGGGCTGAGCTGGGCTGGGAAGAGATCAGACACAGTGCCCACCATCACTGAACACTGACTGGCCCTGCTGCCAAACAGCCACCCCACTTAACTTAGCCCCGTCCTCCCCACCAAAAACATTTCAGGCAGAGCTCCAGCTCTGCAAACTTGGCCTCTTTGAAGTGGTGAGCCAGTGCCCCTGAAACTGTCACTCTGCATCTGATGGCCCTTCTCCTGCTGCCAGGGCTTCATCTAGGGTTCATGTCTCTTTCCTCTGAAATCTGTAAATGTAAGTTCAATTTTAAACTGTTTTTTTTCCCTAACAGTTGGTCTCAGAAGTATCTTTAGGGGTAGGGAAAGGGGGCAGTAGCACTGGTAGAGGGAGATATATGCCCTTGAAAATTGGATTCTTTTTTGGAAAACTGCTGACACAGGCTAATAGGCAGAGAACTAAATGACCCTACTGTTTCTACCTGCTGACGGCCACAGCCTTGGGACAGGGCTGAAATTAGCTCTCACCACATGGCAGAGACATGCCTTCCTCTTTTTTTTTTTTTAATACAAATAAGGGGTAATTTTGTGCCTGTCAGATAATACAGCTTTGTATTGTAAATAGCCCGTATAGCCCGTAAACAGCCGCCCCGCCTCTCCAACTTGGAAAAGCACACTAGTGCTGATCTAAGTACCTGGAGAATCAGATGGTAGGTAATCTCCCTGATGAGGACTGGTATTAAAACCCTGATTATTAATAAATGCTGATAGACAAACCCATCCAAGCTCAGGAAACGTATTGCTCCAAAGATGAGTGTCCCTGCAGCCCAGACCATGTAACATAACATTTCCTTACATTTCTGCTACTGCCGCCTTTCACGGTAGCAGAGGCTTCGAAACTTGACAGTCTTGGGGAAATGAGGCTGTGTGTTTCGGTTCTGTTGTCCAATGCTGTTATCTGTTGGAAAAGGAGGATTCCCTGCCCATTTTGTAAGCACACAGCTGGCAGGAGCTGTTGCAATCTCACTGCCTTCCGATCAGCCCCGCCCCGGCAGCAGGCGGACTTGGGGCCTGTGAAACACACTGGCCAAAGGGTTGTGGTGAGTTTCAAAATAAAAGCTCCCCGCCTGAGCACACCATGGCATTTCCCATCCCAGAGAACCAGCAATGTTAACTGTGCCACATCTCTCATCTAAATTTAGGCATCTTTTTTTTTCCAGGCAAAGATTACTATGCAAACATTTAAGAGCAAAACTTTGCCCAAAGTAATTTTTTCCCTCGACTTCTATTTGGTTTCCTGCGATGTTTAGATGACTCATTCTCTTCCAAGAAATTTTAAAGAAAAGAGATGCAGGCTGGGTGATAGCGCACAAGGACTGCTCTGTAAATTCTCTTTCTCTTCCCTGCCTAGAAACCCTTGCTGTTTTTTATAGGAAACGGAAAGTCTCCACAGTCTTCATTGTCATGGACTCGGCCTCATCAGGTCCTGTTGTTCCCAGGAACAAATGTTCCCCTTGTCTTTGGGTGGGGCTCCTTGTAGCTCCACAGCGGCTGCCAGCACAGAAGCCCTTTTTGGGTCGCTGGGGCCACACTTGCCCCCAGAGGCACACAGTTAAGGTTTCTGAAACAGAAAACGGTGGCCTTTTCTATCCGTGAAAGGAGAGGTACAGGCTATTTCCTGCCCTTCTCGTTGAGTCAGAATTGCACCCGATTACTGGGGGCTTTATCAGAGCTATAACCGGCTTAGCAACACGTGTGTTCCCAGCCCAGCCCTCAGCCAGAGGGACAGTAAGTCAGAATCACTTCAGCAGCCTGTTCAAATAAACAGGGATAATAGTTGAGTCGGTCCTTTTCCAACTAATCAGTATGGGAGAGGAAACATCTGCCCAAGCTTAATTGCTATTTTATTGGTTATGCTTTTTCTCCCCCTTCCCGTCCCACCTCCTCTGGCGGCTACATCATTTAAGTCATGGGTGAGCAGCTGAGTAGAGGAATGGGCGCTTTGTCCTGGAATCTCTGCCGTTTGAAGATGAGGAGGTGGTTAAGGGAGGATGGGAGGCTGGAGGGCAGGGTGTTTGGAAGTGATACTCTGGTCACTTCCTGGCCTTGTTGCTGACGCTGGGGCTGGTTGGCGAGTCATTTTGCCTCACTTCACCTCCTTGGACCTCTGCTGCTTCAGTGGAGCTCGGCTCTCCTCATGATGGGAAGGAGGGGCTGGTTTGTGAGATCCTAGAAGAAAGGCACATCCTCTTGAGGCTTCTTCCAATGATTGAGGGCATTGAATGAGAGTCACTGGGGAATAGTGAATTTAAGACTGGCATACTCTGGAAGACATCCATTTTGTAGAGCATCTCGGTCCCTGAAGAGAACTTGCTCATTATCTTTTACCCTGTGGAGGGAAGCCAACCCACTGTAGATGGAATTGGGTGGTGTTGGAATCTAATACGGACTCAAGAAGCCAGACAAAAGATCATGAACTGTAGAATGGCAGAGGTTGGAAAAGACCTTAGGAATGTTTAAAACAGACTTTAATTTTATGGAAAGGAAAACAGAGGTCCAGAGAGATGGACTAGTTTGTCCAATGTTAACTTCGTGATAGTGAAGGAGCTGGAAATAGGAGAGTCTTGTGATTGCTAATTCAGGACTCCTTCCACACCTTTCCACACTACTAAGTGTAAAATTTCATGTCGGCTCACAACAAAGGTCACACATATCTTATATTCTGTATTCCTTAATAGAAAAATGGCAAAGCATAAAAGAAAAGTGAGAATGACTGAAATGTGTAAAAAAAAAAAGTTTAGGCTCACTAGAATCAAAGGACTGCAAATTAAAATAAGATACCATGTAAAATTGTCAAGATAAAAAAGTAACAAAAACATTCTTATATGCTTCTGGCGGTATCTAAATGGGTACGATTTTTCTCAAGGGCAATTTAATGGTTTAAATTAGTAGTCTTTGACTCAGCAATGTTACTTCTAAGAGGAAATAATGATAGGTGTGTGCATAGATTATACACAAAGTAATTAAATACAGCATATTTTATTATAAAAATGTGTAAGCAAAGCAAATGTCCAAGAGTAGAAGCTACATCAATATAACCTATTATAATGTATAGAAGAATAATACATAGGGAAATGTTCACAACATATGTTTAAGTGGGTAAGTTACAGTGTCTATAATGCAATCTCAATTCCATCAAAATCGTAGAGAGAAGATTAGAAAAATATATAACAAAGTCTGGAGTGATGACTTCTTAGGGGTAAGAATTAAGGGTTACTTTTTCTTTTTTTGAGGTTTTCTACAGGTTTCTTATTTATCGCAATAAACATATATTGCCTTTGTAATCTTGAAAAAAGCAAGATCTTAAATGATTATATTTCTGACATGCAAGACCTCTCCCTTTCTTTGCCTGGGGGCTGAGCTGTACCAGGGGGTAGAACTATACCTTCCATTAGAAGGGCATTGTTGGTATCTGATTTTTAGTAGGAAAGAAGTAGGAGCAGTTGGCAGAAAAGAAAACCAGGGCTTCCCCACTCCATGACCCAGGGATGCCGATCAGGTTTATGCCCCACTCCCTCGGGCTTGGCATCAAACACGCAGTATCAAAGGTGTGGCTCTTATTTCCTTCCTGCTTCCTTATTCTCCTCTCTTCTCCCCTTCTCTCTCTGTGTAGTTAGATGCAGCCCTGGGCAGCAGCAGCAAAGAAACTGAGAGCCACCACTGCTTAACGTTGACCAGTTGGAGACCCCTTAACATGTATTATCAGAATTAAGTGATACTAGCCACCAGTTATCGTTGAGGTAGCACTGCCTTGGGAGTTTGGGATAGAAATAAAGCAAGTAAGAGGTATAACTCCTTCCTGCTTGAAGGTTTCCATTCAGTCAGTTACTTTGAAGTTCTTGGATGTTTATATACATATGCCTTTCTCATCCTATTTCCCATCTTAACTTTCTGCCACAATTCTCAGCAATGCTTGACTGCAAGTATCCAAGAAAGCTTGTTCCACCCAACAACAGTTGCCAAGCAGGTTGTGGCTTTCAGGCCTGCTCTTCGGGGACCAATTGAAAAATCAAAGGCTGCAACCCATTTTCCTCCACATGATTGCCTTTGCTAGGCTAGTGAAGGGGCGCATTTCACTTTATTAAAACTCTTCGGGTAATCTGACCATAATTTGGTCTGATCAGAGTGGTTATCTGATTTGCTGGGTTAAATAATGGGTCTTAATTGAGTCTGTGTTATTTGTAGAGCCAGGGCTGCCCTTGCCTTTGCTGCCCCCTCCTCCCTCCTTCTGTTTCCCAATTAACCTTCATTTCTCTTTCCTTGCAGAGTAAAGAAGTTGGCCAGCAGCTCCAAGATGATTTGATGAAGGTCCTGAATGAGCTCTACTCGGTAAATCAGATGGGTTACTTGGCTCTTTAATAAGCAGAGGGAAGCAGCATTTGGCAGCTTGTGGCCATAGTCACGTCAGCAACAGCACTGAGCTGAGGTTGAGGACAGTGCATGGTCCCCACTGGGGATGACTTCACCCACCTCTTTTTTCACTCTTATTTTCAAACTAAAAGGAGCCAAAAACTGCTTTCTCAAAATAAGATCCCTTTTCAGCTGTACAGGCTAACTCTGGCCTCATTTGGGACAGAGTTGCCAGAGACCTGCCAAGGCCTCAGTCACCAGCACAGCTGACCCCCATTAGCAGCAAACCAGGGACCCCAAACCTAATGGCAGGGAACCTAGCCTGCATTGTCCCATGAATAATAATGTGCTCCGTTGGAAAGGATCTATTGTTCAAAATTTTGCATCAGTTCTCAGGTTGATCTACTGGTTTGAGACGAGAGCAGTTGCTGTAGAGGGAAGTATAGGGTCTTAAATGCCCCTAAGATAAGGGATCAGTTCAGGGAGAGAGCGCATTTCCTCGACTCCTGGGGTTTTATAAAGGTCAAACCTCAGTGAAGGGCCAGGCTTCGGGTTTGGAGCAAAAAACACGATCTGTTCTGAAATGACTGGCGTTTCAAGCACGTGTTGCCTGTGGCTGATGTATGTTTCTTCGTGCACTGGGAGGTGGTCGTGGTGGTTTCTCCCCCAGCTGTGTTTCGTTAATTACAGTCAAAACACCCCCCCCCAAGGAAATTCCTGCTGCCATACAGGGAGTATTTCGATTGTGCAGCTAAAGCCTTTCAGGGACCCTTCTCCAGCTGGGCTGTGCCAGGCCTTTGTGTCCTTCTCCAGGGTTGCCCTGTCCTATTTTGGAGGTGAAATTTATTTCCTGTGTTTACTTGCTTATCCATTGCATTTTTTTTTAATTTAATTCACAGGAAGACAGGCAGTGGTGATATGCATCACAGGCATTTGGGATCAGAGAATTCCATGTTCTTGATCCAAAAGCCTAGGTGTGGCCATTTTGTCATGGCAACTGTTAAGCAATAAATAGGGTAGAGTGGTCAACAGCTATGTCTCCAGTGACGTTCAGTTTGTTTGCAGTTTCTGCTCTGTGACTCTTCTGCTCTGAAGCCAAGTAGATAGATAGATGGTTCCCTTTGGTTAGCTCCCAAGTTTTCATTTCTTTCAAGTGAAGTTAAGGCTTTTTAAAAATAGAAGCATGTTGATGTGAACCATTTTCAGATTGGATGAGTTTTCTGAACCCCCTGGTCTTTTAAATGCTTTACTTCTACTCTTTAGTTTTAGAGCGTCATCTAGGCACCAAGAAGAGCTATGACTCCTTTCTCCTGGCAGATAATTCGCTAAGATAGAAAATGACACATGGAGTCATTATATGAATCCTTTTATTTTCCCGTAAGCATCTTGGGCCTGTGCTGTTGCTATTTCTGGAGAGGAGTAGGATGGATAATCAGTAAACCCCAAACCAACTCAGATCCAGTGGGCCACTTCTGCAGTGCGACTTCAGGCAGCAGCAGAAGAGTAGGTCCTAGGGGTTTGTTAGCTTTACTCAGAGTCCTACATCTCTTAATGTGCTGTGATTAAAAATAAGTAAATAGATAAATAAATAAACAAACGTACATGCATGCATACATAATTGTCTTGGAATGAGGAAGAAAACCCTGGAACTTGCTGCTCTGATCTGAGGAGGGCTGAGCTGGCACCTCAGGCTGCAGTCTTCAGGCAGTCCAATGTGGCCAGGACTTCACAGGCCACTATGAGGCCACAATCAGTGCAGAGTGTAAAGTCTTCCCACTGGTGTGCAAACTGGGCACCGTGTCCCCTTCCATTAGGTGAATTGGTACCCACTCTTATCATCTGTCCAAGGCCAAAATAAAAATTTGAGGTTTTCCTCTAGTAAGCAATGGGAAGAGGCAAAAAAAAAAAAAAAAAAGTAGAAAACACTGGAAAGGCAGTGTTCCAGAGAAGGCAGAACAGTCTGGTGTAGTGATTCTCAAGCAGGGTGATTTTTTATCTGAGAGGACACTTGAAAATGTCTGCAGACATTTTTGGTGGTCACAACTAGAGCAGAGGATGCTAGGGGCCAGGATGCAACTGAAATCTTATAATTCTCAGGACAGCCCCCAACAACAGAGGATTATCTGGACTAAAATGTCAGTAGTACCAAGATTGAAAAACTCTGGTCTAATGATTAGAATCTCTTGAATTGGGCAACCTGGATTCTACCCAGTCTCCACCAGCTATGTGAGCTTGAGGAGATGGTTGCTCCTGGAATCTCTGTTTCCTGGGGGGTGGGGGTTTGGGGGAGTCATAATTCATGAAATATCACATCATAGTTAAGAGTCTGCTGAGTCTGCAGATTCTGTAGGCCATTAGGAAGTTCAGAGAGTAGAATTATGAGTTGTTTCTTCTGGAAGGGGAGATAAGTGTAGGACTGGTCTTGAGTTAGGCACCATGGCATTAGGGTGACTGAATACCTCGGTTTGCCTAGGACTGAAGGCTTTCCTGGGACCCGAAACTTTCAGTGCTGAACCTGGGAAAGTCCTGAGTAAGCCAGGATGATCGGTCATCCTGCACGGGACAGTGGTTTCACCAAGTAGGAACTGGGGACTTTTGTATGCTGGCTTTGGGGAGATACTTGCTGTATATTGTCTCTCTGCCTCTGTCCCCCTCAAAGGAGTTAAGAGAACAAGGGAGAGCTTCTTATAAGGAGCTTCCCCCTATTTGATCTCTGGGAAGGAGCTCTCTGAGCAATAGAAGTTGCTTGTGGGCACGGGATAAAGGAAACCAAGAATGCAAGGAACCCACCATATTCAGTGCTCTTCTTACCTGGCATCTGCCCTTCCTGCCCACAGATACCTCTTTTGGGGAGACCGATTACCTACAGATTGATAATTTAGGCACTTTTGAACCTTGATCCAAAGGGCAGGACCCAGGTGTTCCCCGATAAAGATGCCTTCGGACAAGAGGCCCAGACTCTCATCCTGAGTGGCCAGCTGCCCCTGTTACCCTCCTTTTTTCTGCCTGAAGGGCCTTTGATTTTCCTGCCTTGGCATTCTGTGCCGGGGGCCGCCTGCCGCAGCTGCTCTGCAGAGAGCAGTCCCAGTGAGCGTTCCCCTCCACGTGTTTTTTACCCCATAATGGGCTGGCTAGTTTGTAGGCCATGGCATAAGTGGTTTTCATTTTCTGACTGATGGCATCAGGAATGCCTTTGAAGTCAGAGGACACTGCTTCCCAGAGAACTCCGGAATTCGCTGCCTCAGTTATGCTCAGAGGCTGTATCTGGAAAAGCCCAGCAAGCTCCCACAGGAAGGAATGTACACGGGGGCACTGAAGCCACATGGATTGGCTGAATAGGAGAGTCAGGGAAGCCCTAGAATTGAGAAAGAAGAGGTGTTGGGACCCCGGAGCTGTTGTTGCCCTAGAGGTTTTATGCATCAGCCCTCCCCCTGAATATGTGTTCCCTTGAATTGGTGCAGCAGCTGTCTGTGGGACCGCTTCAGACTGGAACTGAGCACCTGCTGCTTTGAAACAATGTCAGTTAATAGTCCCCCAACTCTGTTTGCCTGCTTGTCCCCTGCACTTGGCACTAGGGATACAAAAACATTTAAGAAATGTCCCTGAACTCGGGGCCTTTAGTTTTAATAGAATAGAAGAGACAGAAAAGTAAAGCTGTAAGTAAAATATGAAGTGGTGACTCTTCCCATGTCTACAGAGGGTGGCCGCATGAAGTCAGGCTCCTTGGAGAGAGAGACGAAATGCATCTTAATTGCTGAGAGCTCTTTTATTGTTCTCTATATGTCCCTTTTTTGTTGTACCCTGCTCTTGTCTCATGATGCAGGGTCTTTTCACTTCTCATTGATCTCTCTAGGGATATTATTGATGGGTTATTTTTGAAGTTTTCTTCTTTCTGTATACTTTGTTTCCTCTCAATTGCTTGTTTTGGTCTTGGTCTTTTACATGAGATATTTTCCTTAAATGTCTGGTAATCTTTAACTGCCTGCTTATATTTTAAAGTGAGACACTAAAAAGCTGTTTGGAAGTTCTGGGTCAACTGTGGTCTTTACTGGAAGGTAATCTGACTGGACTGTGTCCCTAGGGGAAGCCCTGATATCAGTATTTCTAGGTCTTTTATATTAGATGGACAGATTCCCTAGATAAGTCTCTTTTGATCTCCTGCCTATGTCTAGGGGTTGAGTTGTGAAGAGGCCTGGCCATCTCAACATTCAGCATAGAATTTTCAGTTCATCCTCTTGTTTTTAAGGCCAGTACCCCTGTCCTCAGCTGAGCCTGGTGTCCTCGGTCCACAGATACTCCCTAAGAAAATAAACCTCTAATCTTCCACTACAGAGGGGAAGGAGATGGGATCTGGGAGTCTAACTGTTCTCAGGCACTCAATAGTTTCTCTTGTTTTTAGCTCCACCTTTATCCCACTGCCACCAATTCCTCTGAGGGCTTCTGTGGTACAAGTCTGATTTCTTCTTTTCTCTCCCTCCTTTTGGTTTAGGATTCAATAGGTCAGTTACCACTTGCCTCCCGACTTTTCATCTTCTGCTTTCATTCTTCATGTTTTTCTCAGTTTATACCTAAAAAAATAATCAAGTAAAAACTCTTTTCTGTTGTTTTAGTGTGGCTTGGGGAGGGAGCAGAGCTAAAGGCATGAATTCGATATTTAGTTTTTTCAGAGTAAAGTGAATTACTTTGTAGAACTGAGAATTTAGACTTCTGAGTTTTCCCCCTAGTTTGTATTTGCTTCACTGTTTATTTTCTCCAACTCCTATGTTGATTTCCCTATTTCTCCAATTGTTTTGACATCAGTTACTCAAGCTTCAGCCTCAGGATACCTCAGCTTTCTCTTGAGTTGGAGGACACTAGTTATACTTCTGTATTTTCGCAGAGGAGAGATTCAGTGTCACTGAGTCATTTGGGTGACCACACTGATTGTAAAACTACCACTGTGTACGTGACATATTTCTTAACTATGGAGAAGAAAGGAAAACACAGAAGAGGAAGTGGTGCTTACCCTTGGGAATTTATAGTTTCTCAGACGAGACAGTGTTTTTACCCTTTTAAAAAGAGTTCTTTAGGGGAAAGGAACAATATAAATTGTTGATTTTTGTTACTTCATTTGTTGTCTTGTCAACACTGTTCTTTTGAGCCCTTTTGTTTTTTGTCTCTCATGTTCATTCATGGTGTTTCCTCTTCATTTATTATGCATCTTTATGAAATACAAAATCATTTTGTTAAAGTCAACTCATTTTTACAACTGTTTACTCAGACTTTTTGAATCCCTTGGTCATATTCCAGGTGAAAAGAGAAAAAGGGGCCTCCTGTCTTCCCTTCTTCAATCAGATAATAGATAACTTTTTCTTGCTTCTTAGTCCACCTAGAAACCTGGAAGACTCTTTGAAGATTTTTTTTTTAACGCTGTTGGCTGTTAAATATTCTTCTCCCATGTAGAGAATATACAGAGTAGATCTTATACTTATGAGAAATGACGTCAGATTCTGAATAAGGTGAAGCTGATTTAAAACATTCTGCAGCTAAAATGAGACATCATTGAAACTCTAAAGTCCTTTGATCTTGTCAATGTCCCACTATTCTCTGCTCCTTCCTCCACTTCCCACTCAGGGATGAGTGTACCCACAAAATCCCTCTAACCCAGGATTCCTCAACCCTGGCACCATGGACATTTGAGGCCAGATCATTGTTGTGACAATAAAAATGTCTCCAGCATTGGTCTCTGGGGGCCAAATTAGCCCCCAGTTGAGACTGCTGCTCTCACTCAAGTCCATAAATGAAACCGGATTCTCTTTTTAAGCCTCTAGTGACTAAATTTAGCCTTTCCTCCCAACTAATCCAGCCCTGGTCCTATGCAGAGAAGAGACATCGGTGTTTAGTGGCCAAGCACATGGACTTTGTCGTCTGACAAACCTGGGTTTGAATCCTGATTCTGATTCATTTACTAGCTGTGTGACCTTGGGCTTGATAGTTCACCTCTTTGAGCCTCAGTTTCCTCATCTTTAAAAGTGGGAATAATAACATGTCTTTCATAGACTTGTCGTGATGACTAAAAGAGGTGACGTACATCAGGTCCTTGACACCCAGCATGTTCTCAGTGGTAGAGATTATTGTTCGTATCACGCCCTTGCTCTCCTCTGTTCAGTCCCCCTTCCCCCCACGGACATACAACCCAGCTCCTGCACTCTCTAATTCTCCCCCTGTGGCATCAGAACGCCAGCACTCTCGACCTTCGGCCTGAGTGGCTTGTTGATCGGGCATTTCTAACTTCCAGTTAGAGCAGAGGCTCCTGTGTGGAACCAAGCCCTCCAGCAGGCAGAAGCAGTCTGTTTGGGAGGAAACAAATGCAAGTTCCAGGCTTCCTAGCCTCCTCGGTAAGAAAAGGGACTAGACTCCCAGACAGTTGCTTTGATGGAAAATTGTATCCTCTCCTTCCTTCCTGTGGCAACGCCAGTTTCACTTGATGTGGATTTTATTCCTTCTCAGACTCTTACCTGAATTTTTCCACAGGTTACATACAGTATTCATAGGGTTGGTGTCTAGGTCGCAGGATGGCCATCAGGAGGAAGTGAGACAATGCGTGGGTAGCACTAGGCACAAAGCCAGGGTGTACTACGTGCTCAGTGAATGGTGCTTTGTCCCCCACCCCGAGGCAGCTGCTGTGAGAGAGGGTGTTTGATCCGGATAAAGCAGACCAGACAGAACCCCCCGGATGGGAGGCCAGTAGAAAGGGTTTGGAGCTGTTCCTCTTCCCCATTTTATATCTGAAAGTCTCAAAAGCATATGCTGCTCTGCGTGCTCTGCCGCCCTCCTGAGGGTCCCAGCCATCCCAGGAAGGCTTTGCTCTTTGGATCTGGGTGGTGGTGCTTCCTATCATGGTATTGTGAGATGACTGAAGTGGTAGAAATCGCTTGGTCAATGTAAAAGAGAAGTGCTTACAAATGTTAATAAATAGAAGTACATTGTACATCGTAGAAGACATGAAATCATTTTAATAATACAGCATGTTGGCTCAGTTCAAATACTGCTTTCCTGTGCTTTGGAGTGGTCTTTCATATAGAAAGTTTGCTGAACCAAACATGTATAAATTTTGCCCTTAAGGGTATGAGGGTGTGGCTTCATGGGGGAGAGGTCCAGCTGAGTCTGTTAGTCTGTAAAGCAGAGAACTGACCCCATTGGCTTGACCTCTGGGGGTGGGGGCGGGGGGTGTCTTGCAGGTCATGAAGACATATCACATGTACAATGCCGACAGCATCAGTGCTCAGAGCAAGCTAAAGGAGGCGGAGAAGCAGGAGGAGAAGCAAATTGGAAAATCCGTGAAGCAGGAGGACCGGCAGACCCCACGCTCCCCTGACTCCACTTCCAACGTCCGCATTGAGGAGAAGCATGTCCGGAGGAGCTCAGTGAAGAAGATTGAGAAGATGAAGGAAAAGGTGAGGACGCTCTGGCAACTGTCGGGGCTGGGGAGGAACACTCCGGAAGTCAGAACTGCTGGGAATTTCCCAGTAGGCGCTGTGGAGAGCAGAGCAAGGAAGCTCTGGGTTCCTTAGGTGCCTAGTGGCCTTACTACCTGCCCCGGAAGAAATCTTAGGTATTGGGAAAACTTGGGCATGTGGGCTCCAAGTTTCTGACCTGTAGCAGATAAACAGGAAATAGGAGTCACCTTTCCCAAGCCAGGGACAGGGGATAGCGTTTGGCTTCAGATGTCAGGTGTTCAGAGGCAGATAGAGTGACGTCTCCTTCAGGGCGGTGGTGCAAGGATGGAGAATGGAATTTGCTCGTAGAACCAAAGTGGGACACGCATCTAAAGTAGGGAGCCTCATTAACCTTTCCTGGGTTGATCTACATTGTGCCCTTGAATCTCATTAAACAGAATTAGAACCCAATTTAAGGCAGACGCGCAGAGGGAGTAGCAGCACAGTTGTGGTTCTCGAATGAACTGTACTTTCATCTTTTAGAGAACAATCTCCCCTTAAAAGAAGAAAAGTAAAACTGAACTTGTGTTCTGTTTTCAGCGCCAAGCCAAGTACACGGAGAATAAGCTGAAGGCCATTAAAGCCCGGAATGAGTACTTACTGGCTTTGGAGGCAACCAATGCGTCTGTCTTCAAGTACTACATCCATGACCTGTCCGACCTTATTGATGTAAGTGCTTAAAGCCAGGGGCACAAAGATCTGGTTTTGAAGATCTGGTCAAGGGTCCCCTAGTTCTGATGCTCAGGCATCTTGGAGCGTTTTGAGAACAGTTATGAAGATGGTGGCCTTGACCTCTCAGGGGCTTGCCATGTACTACGCAGATTTCTGTCTCCCTTCAGCTAGGGCTCTTTGATTCAGTAGATTTCAGCTTCTTAAAGCCCTGGGAGTCATCGCCTCCCTGGGGAAGTGGAGCCCTGATCCCTGTTCGGGTACCACTTTGTTCTCTCTGCTTGTTGATGCCAATCTGAACATTGTCCTTCAAGGGAAGTCAGAGCCCTGGATAGGATCCTTTCTCCTCTGGGGAACAGCTCCTCACTGTTGGGAGAGAGGACTTGTTCTCAGCATGACGAAGACAATCACTTCTTTCTTATGCTCAATTTCTGCTATTTGTCTCTCATTTGGTAAAAAAATCCAACGGTGCGTTCCGTCACACCTCTGCTGCAGGTTTGTTCTTTTCTGTTTCTTTTGCCCCCAGGGCAGCTTCCCCTCCCCTTTAAGCAAAACCCTGACCTCAGGGGACAAGAGGGGCTACTGCTAGTCAATCACAATCCACAGCCCCTTGTGAGTAGGTGTTTTGAAATCACATAAGCCAAGATTTTTTCCCTTTTTTGTGCCTTTCAGTACTGTTTTAATTGAAATGTAATTTACAAACAATGACTGAATTTAAGTGTTAAATTGCAAGGATTGTGCTGAATCCTCCATCCTTGTAACCTACATCTTTGTCAAGATTTAGAATATTTCCATCACTTCGGAAATTTCCTCTTTCTCTTCCCAGTCAGTCCCCCACCCCGAGGCAACCACTCTCCTGATTTCTTTCACCATGAATTGGTTTTGCCTGTTGTAGAATTTCACAAAGATGGGATTTGGATGTAGTGTATACTTTATGGTGTCTGGCTTCTTTTGCCTGGCGTGACGTTTTTGAGCTTCATTCATGTTACTTCATGTGTCGGTAGTTTCTTCCTTTTTCTGGTTGACTGTTGTTGTAAAAATGGCCGAAAGGATGCTTTGGCAGTGAACCAACAGCTAGAGCAGGGTTGAGTGGGGAGCCTGGGACCTTGGCATTCTGAGCTCCGCAGCGTCCAGAACTTGCTCCAAGACTTGGGATGAATCTTGTTCCAGTCCTTCGCCATCTGTGTTATATACGCCATTCTGCCTCCTTCCTGGCGGTGCTGAAGCTTAGTGTGTACTAAGGATAAGTGAGAGAAGGGATGTTTGTCGATGCCAGTCCATTGACACAAGGACTAGCCCTTGACTTCTTTTTATATAATATCGTATAAGATTTAAACTCAGGCTGAAGGAATCCATGTGAGTCATCTGACACACACCAGGAAAACCTTGACTTCAGGCCAAGAGGATATTCTGAAGGGACTTTAGATACAGTCTAAGAACCATTGGCTCTTTGGAATATGGCTCTCCCCACCCTCCTGGACGAATGAAGAACAGGGCATTGTCCTCATGCATAGCTGGAATGGTGTGGGTGCTGTGTACACGGGTAAAGACTGTGACACCATGTGCACCCAAGTCAGACATGCGGGAGCTCAGCTTTCTCCATGGGAAATTTTAAGGGCAATTCTTTCCCCCTTCTGTATGGACTTGAAGTGGGTGTTGAGAAATATCCATATTTCTTTTCTAGGCCTCCTCTAGAGTCTCGGGGTGAGGATATCAGCTGGTAAAGGGTTAATGAGCTGTCAACTCAACTCATCACACACCTGGATGGGCTATCATTAAATTCTTATAAAAATTTTATTTCCCCTGAGAGAGTTTTCATCAAACATTTATATAACCCAGAAATGGCCAGGGGAGGCCAGCATGGCCACAGAACTCATCGGAAGCCGTGGAAAAACATACTTTGTCTCCATTGTGAGCAGAATAATGCGCTGCCTCTACTCACTGAGATTCTACTGGGAACCAGGATGAAATATTCAAATCTTGTTTACCTAACCTTGCGAGAATTGCTTCTTTGCTGAAACCTCCGTTTCTGGCTGTTAGCCTTTCAGGTATGCGGGTAGCCAAGGCTCTGGAAAACCTATTCCAAATCTCCCTGGTTGGCTGGAGACATAGAGGAGTCAGAGGGCACGTTGTGAGTCAGACCCCCACGCACTGGCACAGAGGAGCTATAGAGCAATTGTATAATAGAGACAGTGGACTGGGCTGAAAAAGCTCCGTGTCTTCCACAGGCCATCCAGAGTGAGCAAAACAAAAGGCTTCAGTCGCCACATCTGCCCACTTGACTTGGATCAGTATTCAACCTAAGTGGATTATTTCCTGAGACGCTAGAATCTGGCATCAATCAATCCACTGATGTTTATTAAATGCCTACTATGAGCAAGGTCTAATGGTGAGGGAATGCAAAGAAGGGATAAGACGCTGGCCACACCCCCTGTGTGAAGCTTGCCTTCTGGTTGGAGTGATTTGACGTGGCGAGTCACGGAATGAGGGAGTGTGTACTATGTCACATGAGGGCTGCAAATGAATGTCATCCTGAGTGGAGGCCAAGGTCAATATATGCCAGGGTCGTGGGCCTGGCTGGCTTCCCAAAGGCTGGTGATTTTCCCTGGATCTTGAAGACTGGGTCCAATTCCAGCAGGTGAGAGGAGTGAGAAACATTTCAGGCAGAGAGGAGGCTGGGAGCTGAAAGTCCGAGAACTAGGGGATATTGACAATTGGTGTTTGTTAAGTGTCTGCACGGTGCCAGGTGTATGTAAGTATATATCCAGCTGACAACAACCTATGAGGATGGTGTTATCCCAATCTGGGGCTCAGAGAGGGTAAGTTGCTTGCTCACAGTCATACAGCTGATTTGGGAACTGCTGTTTTCTAATGCGTGACCCTAAACAAAGAGGATGTCATTGGATTCCAGCAGAAGAAAGAAAACAGAGGGAGATGATGTTAGATGGTCAGACTGAAGACAGATTACTCTTTGTTCTGACTGTTGACCTTGCTTAATTTCACTGAGCCTCAGCTTTCTAGCCAAGAAAATTAAAACAATACCAGCCTCTGGGGTGGGGTGGGACATATAGCTCAGTGGTAAGTGCTTGCTTAGCATGCATGAGGTCCTGGGTTCAATCCCAGGTACCACCATCAATAAATAAACAAATAGCTTAATTACTTCCCCCCAAATAAATCAAATAATAAAATAATACCAATCTCACTGCAGATACTATGTAGATTAAAATGTAACATGTACGTAAAGCACTTAGCACACTGGCATATAGTAAGCACGCTTAGTAAAGAGAAGCATTTTGAAATTTCTCAACTGAGGAAGGTGGAAGTTACTTTAACAAAAAAATGAGAGCTATCATGAGTTCTTCAGCAGGGGAGTAGGCATAAAAAGCCATATTTTAGGACAGTGAAGCAGACAGCACTATAAGATGATGGGTATGAATTAGGGCAGAGGTGGTGAAAATGGTAAGGAAAGGGGAGTTACCAAAAATGTGTAAAGGTTATGAAGCCTGCCTCCCGCTAATTCTCTTCTGCGCTGAAAATCTCCCCACCACCCACCCCATCCCTCCACTTACTCAGCTCTGCAGGCAGCATTACTTCTGTTCATTAGACTTACAGGCATGCAGTTCATCATCAAGGTCTACATAGAGCTAGTTAGGAAGGTTGCCAGGTTCAAGGGCAACTTGGCAAGACCAGCAGTACCTCCTGAAGGAGGAGGAGCCCCTGCACGTGCAGCCTCCAATCAGCGGCTTTTGTCTAGCTTTCATTTGCTCTTCCCTCTCAACTGAATTTAATGTCTTTCCATCCTTCGCCTCTAGTTAAGCTGTAACTGCTGTTCTTCCGCTGCAGCCGGGCACCTGCCAGAGCCGTTGGCACTGAGTCCGGAGCCCAGCCCCACAGGCGCTGTGTCCCGGAGCTTCTTGTTAGATGCTGGGAGGAGGAGACACATCACGTGCTTTTTCCTCCCCAATGGCGGCTGCTCCCAATGTGATCATGCAGATGGGGAAAGGCTGGGGGGAGAGCTAATTTGATGTTTGCATATGGAATGAAATGACAGTCAGGCAGATGGCCTTACTCTATCCATGGATTCTTCTCTGATGTTTCTTCTCAAGTTCTGGATCTCAAAGCTGCTCAAGCAATAGAAAAGATAATGGATGACCAAGGAATTTGGATCTCTGGGTGTTTGGGAGAGGGATGGGGGAGTATTGTCACAGAGTTACAGAATGCCACTGCTGAAGAGGGCCTCAGGGATTATATTTAGTTCCAAGTATTCTCAGACCTCTTCTCTAGCAGAAGAATTCTTTCTTCAAACCAGGCTTTATATAGAATCCCAATATATTAAATAGAAAAAAAGAGCAGAGCTGGTTTGGTTGAGGCAAGGATAGGAGGCTTCAAGTCCTGCAGGTTGGGGTGCCCTGGAACCCCGGTCTCAAGGGCAGCCTGAGCCGTGGCACAAAACCTTCGAGCTCTGGCCACGAACTGGCCAAGTCTGTTCGTTTTACAATCAAGGAAATGGGGTCAGGGAGGGGCAGTGGCTTTTCCAAAGTTGCCTGGCTTCCCGTCCGGTGCTTTTTTTTCTGCTGTTGCCTCTTTCGGACCTTTTTTTTTTTTTCCACTCTGCTTTAGAAAATCAGAATCCTTTAAATGGACTGAATTTTTCCAGTAAGATTTATGTTTAGAAATGTTGGATCTTATAAATGCCGTTTCTGTCGGGTGAGAGTTTTGGTGCAGAAATCCTAGTCTGTAGCTAAGGCCTGTCTAGAGTGTTGAATTTGCTGGTGGGACGTTGATGATGGACAGAGTCAGCCCCCCATTCCCTTCTTCCCTCACCTAGAGTTCTGAGTTTGTGTAAATTCACTGCGCTTGTAATACTTCTGATTTCTGGACCCTGAACCCCGAAATGGCCTCGCGTGGTTGGTATGCGGTGACTAAACCACAGTAACCCTGGAGGAGTGGCAGGCTATATTTTTATTGTTGAATTTTGTTATAATGGTATCCCCAGAGGAACCTGAAAATAGAAAAAGACTCCCTTTAACTCTCAACTCTTTCATACTTACTGAATAACATGATTAAATAATTTCATTTTGTCCCAGTGAGTCCTTTTCCTTCTCACCACCTCACAGTCCTCTAAGGAGTCCTCCACCTTGAACTAGGAGTCAAGAACTGAGAAATATCACCCAGATCTTGGAGGTCAGAAGGTCAGCCTCCTTCGGCTGCACAGCTAGTCTCATTGGCGCCGTCAGATCTGCCCTGGGGACCACCCTCCCTCTCCCCAAGCCCTGTGGCTCTCCTCGGTTTGCTCACGTGCCTTCTCCGTTCCACAGCAGTGTTGTGATTTAGGCTACCATGCCAGCCTGAACCGGGCACTTCGCACCTTCCTCTCGGCTGAGTTGAATCTGGAGCAGTCAAAGCATGAGGGTCTGGATGCCATTGAGAATGCCGTAGAAAACCTGGACGCCACGAGTGACAAGCAGCGCCTCATGGAGATGTACAACAATGTCTTCTGTCCGCCTATGAAGTTTGAGTTCCAGCCCCACATGGGGGACATGGTGAGGCCCTCTTCCCAGCCCCTCCTCCCCAAGGGCCTTGAGCTCACTCTTGTCTAGATTGGCTGCACTAAGGCCATGTTATTCTGGGGAGGGCGAGGCCTGGGGCTGGCTTGCTGTCAGGCGGTTGAAGCCCATTCCACCTGTTCAGCAAACAGCCCCTGGGTGCCTGCTGACCACTAGACTCCACCGTAGACATTGGGGATTAGAGCCCTCAGGGAGCTTACAGTCGGCTGAGTTGAAAGCCAGAAATATGCATAGGGAGAGGCACCCAAAGGGACCAGCAGGATCAAAGGAGGTGAAAAACAGCCAGTGTGTTCTAGAAACTAACAGTTTAGTAAGGTGAAAGGGAAAGAGTTGGGTGGAGGCCTCCAAGTGGTGAGGCTGGGCGAAGTGAGAGCTGCGATGGGGCCAGATCCTAAAGGCTTTTGATGGCGAGAGAGGGCTAAGCAAGGTGATGGTGTTCTCTTTTGTCCTTTGGCAGAGTTCCGAAGGAGACTTATTCTCTTAGGTTTAGAAGATAATGATAAAAGGTGTAATTTTGCTTGGGTATTGAACAAAAAAGGGTGTGTATCTACAGAAAGGATAGGAGCTAAGATGTCATCCCTGAGAAGACCTGAGGCTGGCTGTCCGGGCAGGGGTGCATGAACATGGGGACCCTGTCCCCCCTCCTGGGACTTTTCTCCTCTGATGACTAAAACAAGAAAGGCCTAAATAAACTGAAGGAAGAGGAGCAAGAAGCTCTTTGGTTTTCATTACTCTGGTTCCTCTTCTGGTGGTTGTGCACACAGATCAAAGAAAATCTTATTCCTGGGGTAGGAGCCACCATTTGACCTATGGGTTAAATTAAAAGGACATTGTATTGGCTTACATAATAGCAGAGCTCAGGGTAGATCTCCAGGTATGGCTGGATTTAGGAATGGGAATTTTATCAAGACTGACTTTTCTCTCTCTGCTCCATATCCTATATGTTGGCTCTGTTCTCGGATAGACTTTCTTTTTTTTCTTTAAATTTTTTTTTCAGATAGGCATTTTAAAATTTGTATGTGTGTGTTTTTTTGGTTTTTTTGTTTGTTTCTTAATAGAGATACTGGGGATTTGAACCCAGGACCTCGTGCATGCTAAGCATGCACTGTACCGCTGAGCTCTAGCCACCCCCTGCTCAAATAAGCTTTCATCCCACGGGGGCAAGGTGACTGTATTTCCAGACCTAATTCCTTGTAGACTGAAGTTCAGCAGAAAGAGTATCTGCTTTCCTCCTAGAAGCCCTCACGAAAGTCTCACTGTGTCTCCTTGGTTCTGATTGGTTGATGTGCTTATCCCTGAGCCAATGCCAAGGTCACACACTGCATCCCTGAGTTGGGGAGAGCCCCATCCAAAGCACATGGCCTGATTTGTGGAACGAAAGGTTCCCCCAGGGGACAGTCAGGTCAAAGTTACCAAAAGAAGGAGGAGTGAATGCTGGGTGACAGAACAACAACAATGTCCTCTCAACAAGGGAATGGTTCTTCCATTAAGATTAGCGTCCAGATGCTTTTTAGAAAACCCTGCTCCAGAGCGACAACTGTTGCAGTGTAACCAGCAGATCTGCTGTCATCAGTAGGCCCTAATGGAGAGTGAGACATTTCTATCCCAAAGACAAAAATGTGGAGCTGATTTCTTTCCTCTCCTTCCTGGGGCAAACCAAAACATTTACAGTTTGTTCCCATTGCTGTGGCTCAGGAAATGTCAGTGTCTGAACAGATGGGGAAGTGAGATGGCAGCATGTGCCATTAGAAGAGCAGGGAGGAGTGTCGCCAAGCCCCAGGAAGCCCCATTCCTCACCTGCCCTGGCTTCTGGTCAAACTCGTCTTCCTAGCCCCTTTTCCAGCTGCCACTAAGATTCCTTCCCAGGAAGCAGTGGAACTGCGGGGCTAGCTGAGTGGAGCGATGCATTTTCTGGTGTTGACTGAGTTGCCTTCTAAGCTAAGCAGCTTGTCTCCATAAAGCGGGATTCCAAATGAAGGGCGTTCAGGCCTCCTCCTAGCCCTGTCAGAACCTCATTTCCATACTCCAGAGCACAGCTGGAATGCATTACCTTGCACCCCGGTGAGGACCACTGCCAAAGCATGCATCAGCAGCCCTGTTGCTTCTTAAAGGAACAAGCATGGAAGTGGTTTTCCTTCCATGATCCCTCCTGGTTGGGTCAAAGTTCCTTTAAAAATCAATAGTCCCCTCTTCTACCTGGGCCCTCCCTCTGTGCAGTACAGCTGATCAGCGGCTGAGCCAGGCAAGGGCCAGGGCCAGTCCTTGTTCTTGCAGAGGTTTTGCATTTCAGCCTAGCCTTCATGTGAGTGGAAAATAAAAAGAGATGAGAGGCTGAGTCTTTCTTGGTCCCTGCAGCCTTCTCTCCCCATCAGTGAGGGCTGTCTGTAGGCTGTGGAGGCAACAAGAGGGAGCTGCCTGGAAGTCCTTGAACTTGGGCCAAAGTTCGGGTGGCATTTTGACCGGAAGCCCTGAAATTGGCCAAGGCCCACACTGATTGGCGTTCTGGGGCCTCAGCACATGAATTGATGCCAAGCACTCTCAGATGCACTAGGGGGAGGTGCTTGGCTCTACTCCTGGTGCCCCCCAGAGGCTCGTGGGGCTCTGGATGCCTGACCGGTGACATCAGGCAGCCAGAGAGTTTCACTCTTGGCTCTAACCCATCCTGGCCACCGAGCTCTCTCCATTGTGTCTGCTGATCCAAGAGCCAGAATGAAGTCAGCTCTCTTCAGATCTGAGAGCTGGCTCAGGCCAGCCTCTCAGCTGGGGGAGGAGGTCAAGTCGGTTGAGAGCTTAAAAGCCAATGGAGGAAAAGGTCAAGTCCCAGCTCCCTCCATTTGAAGAGAGGTTTTTGTCTTTTCAAGCAAGAGAATGGTCTGTGGGCCTGTGAATGTGCCCACACGTTGCTGGGGAAGATGGAGGCCGGTTCTATCCAGAGGTCTCTCCGCAGATGGGAGGCTAAAGGACACAAGGTGGCAAGGTGACAGGAGCTACCTCCACGTGGTCCTGCCTCCCAATCTGCCAGCCTTCTGCTCCTCATCTGTCATCCTGGGAACTGGGGGTGACCTCATGCCTATGCCATAGCCATGGCCCCATCAGGAGACGGTGGCTCAGCCATCCCTTCCCACAGGGGGATGCTTATTGACAGTGATTCTTGGGAGAAAGGCAGACTTCTCTCCTACACAGATCTGGAGAAGTCCTGGAGTCAAATGATAGCTTTTTGAAAATGCCAAATTCCACAAGACTGGTTGCCCTCTGGGGCCCTGTAGCGCAGCCTGTGGACCTGTTCCTGGCTTCACGTGTTCTTTCATTGAGTCAGAGCTCTCATGCATGGCTCAGATTTATAAACACATGCTGGCTGCCAACAGCGGCAAGTTAGCCTCCTGACCCACTTCTCTCCTGCTTTCACTCTGGTGTACGGCAGGGAATGAAGGAGGGGCCAGAGAGGTAGCCACTTGGACCTCTGGCAGGAAATCCTCACTGTGCCAAAGCATCGTGTATCTGAAGTCAGGGCTCCCTAAGGCACTCTCTGCCCTAACTCTGACTTCCTTGGAGCCACGAGCCCTTTATAGACCTGCTGCCCGCCAAGCACCAGGCTGCAGATGGGCTCCAAAGAGAGACCCAGTCTTTGCAGACAGGTCTCACTCCTTATTCCTTTCTTGTGCTATTTGATCCTGGAAGAGGTCTACACACTTTGGCTTTGGATTTGGTTTTAACATGGAAATTGTGAGCTTTACAGCTTGACTATGAGTAGTTTTAGTCACAGTAATGGGACTCTGGAACTGACAAAAGAACTGTGTCCTCTTCCTGACCTGGTGTTGCTTTCTTTGGGCAGGCTTCCCAGCTCTGCGCCCAGCAGCCCGTCCAGAGTGAGCTGGTACAGAGATGCCAGCAACTGCAGTCTCGCTTATCCACTCTGAAGATAGAGAATGAAGAGGTGAGTTTCCCGTTCGGGAGACTCAGAGCTGCCCTCTGAGTTTCCCTGTCGAACCTCTTGCTGCTGCCCTTCGGGGAGCAGGTGGAAGGAGCATGCAGAGAATGTCCGGGCGTCCGCAAACATTTCCTCGCCAAATGTAGGCTTGGATTTTCCCCTTCTGCTACATCCTGCCCTTGAACTCCAGGAAGTTGCTCTTGCATTGCCAAAGGTTGGGCTCTATTTTGAGCTTTTGCAAAATGCTTTTTTCTCCCCCTTTACACATTTAATCAAAATGGCACTTGGCAGCTGTATGAACAATATTGTGTCTCTGAAACCACCCCCTCATGCCTGGCTTTTTCCAGCATTTTCAAATAAACAGAGGCCTTTGACTTTAACACTTCAAACATCTCCATCCTCTTAGAAAAGGGTGACTTTCTTCTGGGCCCAGAGAATTTGCTTTCAACAACCAGTTCAAAAAGGCAGTATGATTGATTATCAGCTTCTTTCTTTTGAGCTCACGTGACTTCTTACCTGGCGTCTTAGTAAGTCTTAACTTTTCGCAGTAAGATCACGAAAGCCTGGAGATGGGCCACATAGTTTGCAAATGGGGAGACAAGTTCATTGATTTGTTGAAGGTCATGAAACAGAGCCTGGGGTGTTGCGGTCCCAGGCCCATCATACATTTTGAACTAGCTCTTTCTACGGTGGGGTTGGTTTGGATTTGTTTTATTCTCTCTCCCCTAGCATTTCCAGTGTAGCCAAGAACTAATATTAAATTTTAAAAGTAAACATTAAATAGGCTTTAAAAGTTAAGCACGTAGCATGAAGTGGGTGGTGGGTTTCAGGTCCTCCCCGTAGAGAGTAGGACTCTACCGCAGAGTCCATGTGATGTTCATCGATCCCTGAGCACCGTTCCCTGGGAAACAAAGCTGCACCCTCCCTCCTTCCTCAGCGCACTTTGATCCCACTTCTCGAAGCTTCTCTATCACCTGCTGTGTTGCAGCCTACCCCTCATTCATTATGTCGACTCCTACTTATCATGGCAGGTAAAGAAGACAATGGAGGCCACTCTGCAGACCATCCAGGACATTGTGACCGTCGAGGATTTTGACGTGTCTGACTGCTTCCAGTACAGCAACTCTATGGAGTCCGTCAAGTCCACCGTCTCAGAAACCTTCATGAGCAAACCCAGCATCGCCAAGAGGAGAGCCAACCAGCAAGAGACAGAGCAGTTCTATTTCACGGTGAGGGGGCTCAGCCTGGTGGCCTTTCAAGGTCATTTTTAGGCGCTGTAGCACACAAGGGCAGTTTGGATCCCAGGGTCTTTGTCAAGTGTCTGCAGGGCAGTCTTTGACTATCTTGATTTGGATCTGGGCATATTCGGAGATTGTCCCTACACTTAAAAGGCACAAATATCTACAAGTTGTATGTCTAACAGGGACCCCCCAGAGAAAGGATGCCCCCAAGTACACTGCCAGGAATATTTTCTGTTTTAAAACTTTTTTAACCAGCCTGGTAGGCTCTTGTTTGAAACTTTCTTTCTCAGCACTAGGAGTTACTGGGAATTAAATTGAAATATCTTGGCTAACACATATCTTGTTTTTAAAGTCTATAGTCTTTTCTAGGTGATATGATCACATTATTTTATAATTTATGGCAATAGGAATTATTTTTTATAATTATTGCTAAAATTCAAAGGAAGAGGTAATGTGCAGCATTGTTGATTTGCAGAGAATTCCTGAACATTGTATTTTGTTGTTCATGCATCTCCCCAGTCTTCTTTTAGACAAATGGACCCAGTTTTTTTTTTTTAAGCAGTGTTAACACTCCTATGAAAGGTTGCTGGCTTATCTTTGGTGCTACTTTTTAATAATTAAGTTGTTTTGAATTTGCCAAGTAGGATTTATTGCCTGAACTAAAATTTATTTCCTAATCTTCTGACAACTGAGAAAGGAGAAATTAAGTTTGCAGATGTGAGATGAAATATAGTCAGTGAATATGCATACTGATTCTGAATGAGAGGAATTAACTTGTGTTTGAGTCAAGAAACATAGTTTGCATGTAGTAAATTGAATTTTTCCTCTAACCGGAACCATTTGCTTAATTCTTCTTTGAACACTGCCCCTTCTCTGTTAAGAACACTAGTGATTTGCTATCTCTTTTAAAGAAGAAATCTTTTTTCACTTAGTTAAGCTCGGAATTCTTCAGATTTTTTTTTTTTTTGAATCCTGGAGAGGACTGTTGAAAGTGAGTGATTTAGCAATATTATTCTTTTAAAAGAACTTTAAAAAATTATCTTGTTTTTTTATTTTGGGGGGTGGGGGTGGAGAGAGGTAATTAGGTTTATGTCTTCATTTTTAGAGGAGGTACTGGGGATTGAACCCAGGACCTTGTGCATGCTAAGCATGTGCTCTACCACTGAGCTATACCCTCCTCCAACTTTTTTTTGTTATACAAAGTAAAACGTGCTTATTACATGAAATGTGAAGCAAAAAAGAAGAAAATAAAAATCATCCATAGTCCCAATACCTAGAGATAATAGTGTTAGAATATTCCCTTCTAGGCTTTTTTCCTCTGCGTACACACGTATGCGAGCATGTGTTTATAATTTTATTACAAAAAGCGAGATAATGCTGTGCCTGTTGTTTTATAATCTGCTGCTTTCATTTAACAAATGATTAATATTTTTCTAAGTCATTTAATTATAACATTTAAAAAATGAATTTATGAATAAAATACTAAAATCTACAAAGAGAAAGAATGAAATGACATTTTGGCTCATTCACTCATTTTTGTGAAATATATATAGCACATTGTTTTGCAGTTAGTGCTCAAAAATGCTGCAAATGTATCACCATTATTAATTTATACATTGGTCATTATTAAATTATTCATTGATCATTTATTAAGGCTCTTCTGTGTGCCAGACACTGTGCTATGAGTTGGGAAAGCTGAGAATATAAAATGAAGAGGGGACTGTTGGGATTAGGCATATGAAGGGAAAACTTTCTTTTCTATTGCCTGTATTTCTAAACAATTACAATAGGTTGATTTTTGTAATTAAGAAAATAAATGTAAAGAACTTCAAGTGCACACACGTGCTCACGCATGAATGGCAACCAGGATGAGTTGAGTTAGGGCCACATCACACACAAGTGACTTTTGTACTGATCAGGCAGTGAATCGAGAGGAGACAGGCATTCCTTGGGGCAGGAGCAGCATGTGTAAAAGCATAAAGGAATGAAAAA